TGAAAGCCAGTCCCACATAAACGTGTCCTCTCTCATGCTCACTCTGTCAAAGGCCAAGTGCCGTCTGGACCTGGGGAGCCAGGGGGCCTTTCTTCCCTGACCAGCTGTCATCCTGTCCCCTCCCTAAGAGCCTCTCCACACACTGGCGTGTGAGCATTTGGGAAGAAGACTCGTTTAGCTATAACTTCTGTGAGTATCATTTGATACCGTTCGAGAATTCACATGGAAATTAATCCAACGTCCTTGATCAGATAGCTTGTATCAGACCCTGCTCACCTGGGGAAGCATTACTGACGTTGACATTATGGGCAAGAGACTCAAAGAAATGGTCCTTCTCCCCGTGCCCTTGTGCCTCGATGAGTGATTGGGAGACACAGGCTGGTGCCCGGGCGAAATGGAAGGGAGGGGACCAGTCTCACTTCGGAATGCCCATCTGCGTGGCACTACCCGTCGGTCAAGACTGGCCCGTCGTGGGCCGTGGGGCTGCCTCACCTTGGGTTTCTCCCCAGCCAGTGATGTAGCACACCGTCCGGTCGGCCACCATGTAGTTGGCGGGAGGCAGACACGCTGGGATGACTTTGTTAGTGATGATGGCGGGGCTGAAACGGAAACGGCAGCAGTTAGCACCCCATTGCCCAGCTGGGCGCCTACTCCCACCCCGCTGCTGACCACCCACAGCCAGGGCCACCTGCCTCTGGGCCCCAGGACCCCCTGGGATGGTGCCGCCCTGCTTCGATCACACTGCGACCCAGAGCAACGCAGGAAACGTTGTCCTCACACTCCCTCCAGGCTCCTGCGGCCTGGACGGTGGCAGATTTCATTCAGAAGGTGTCGGTTATGTTCAAGAGGCTGCTGGCGGCTGCTGCCTCTGGGAGTAGGGATGACCCAAACTCACTTCCCGCACGCCTCTGTGCGTGATTACACGTCTATACCCTGTGCATCTTTCTGTATTCAGAGGGCACGGATCAGCAGGCAGTGTCCAACTGAAACGCTGTCACAACAGCAAAGGTATTGTGTGACCAGAGCAAAAGGTTCTAAAAGATGGACCCTCGGCTTCCTCCTCAGTAGCTGTTACCACGCCATGGCTGGCAGAGTCAGGGAAAATGCTCGATCCAGATGAAAGGGAATTGAAAATGAGCACCTTGTTCAAGCAAAGCGGCCTTGTTTCCAAGGAACTTGCACACGTCAGAGTTTCAGGGAGTCACAAACATTAGAAACTTGCTTTTTCGGACATGATTCTATTTCAGTAAATTCAAGGGGGAACAAAGATTAAAAATGCTCTCTTTTTTAAAAAAAGAATTATTTTATTTATTATTATTATTAATTTGCTATAGGGCGCACATACTCCCAAAGAGAATACTAAAGAGAGAAAGAAAGCAAGCTGCCAGATCTGGGACTTGTACTGTGGTCGGCCACGTGGGAGTCCAGCACCTTAACCATCTTGCCACCTACCGACCCTGAGACACGCCTTATGTTGATTAAGAAGGATTGTCACCAACTTTGAGGCTGATCACATTCTTGGAGGCACCAGAATAGACCCAGCGTCTCACACAGACATCCCCATAGGCCTCCCTGTGCACACGAGATGCTGCTGACTGGGGGTGTGGGTGTGGAGTAGGTACTCGATCTCAAACTATACCAGCTATCAGAGAGCTCGCAATTTACCAAATTGCTTGTCTAAGCCTTCGGGTTATTCCGACAAGTCTCTGACGACCATGAGGAAAAGAGACCTCATATTTATATATTTGCTGGGAGATGGGGGTTGGAAACACTTACCTTTTAGACTAAGCCACAGAGGGTCTTCCTTTCCTTTCTAGAATGTCACAATATCCCAGGACATCAATCCTCAGCTGATGATTGGAAAAGTTGCCCCGTGTTTGCGACCAGACCCAGGGCAGCAGTACACGGTGGCCTCGTGCTGGCCTAGCCTGCCCCATCACTGTCAGTGTCACCGCACTGTCCTCCATGTCCACCAGGCACATGACTACGCCCTGCATGTGGGGCACCTGACCCAGAGGTGCCTATTCTCAGATTAGCTGTCTGGTGGCTGTCTCCACTGGGACTGTTTCCTAACGCTACTAACTTCAAGTGACACAAAGCAAATGTATCGCTTTGTCAGGCTTAGTAAGATACCACTGTGACAGGAAGCATAAAACCAAAGAAGAAAATACTAATGTCGGGCTAGCCCCACGGTGCAATGCTTAAGCACTCTGCACGAAAAGCCAGATCCCACATAACCGACCATAGTTCAAATCCCAGGCCCTCCAACTTGACAAACATGCTGGGTGTGTTTATGTGTGTGCCTGAAGTCCTGATAGGAAGGAGATTAAGGAAACAGGATTGTGGCATGACCACGCCTCATGTGGGAATGATCTCTCTCTCTCTCTCTCTCTCTCTGTCTCTGGCAAGAGCACACAATCACTGACTAGTAAAAGAAAATAAAAAAGAAAGGAAAAAAATTTTAAAGCTAATATTAATAAATAATTCGCATTTGTGGAGTGTCTGTGTGCAGTCTGGTGGCTGTCTCCACTGGGACTGTTTCCTAACGCTACTAACTTCAAGTGACACAAAGCAAATGTATCGCTTTGTCAGGCTTAGTAAGATACCACTGTGACAGGAAGCATAAAACCAAAGAAGAAAATACTAATGTCGGGCTAGCCCCACGGTGCAATGCTTAAGCACTCTGCACGAAAAGCCAGATCCCACATAACCGACCATAGTTCAAATCCCAGGCCCTCCAACTTGACAAACATGCTGGGTGTGTTTATGTGTGTGCCTGAAGTCCTGATAGGAAGGAGATTAAGGAAACAGGATTGTGGCATGACCACGCCTCATGTGGGAATGATCTCTCTCTCTCTCTCTCTCTGTCTCTGGCAAGAGCACACAATCACTGACTAGTAAAAGAAAATAAAAAAGAAAGGAAAAAAATTTTAAAGCTAATATTAATAAATAATTCGCATTTGTGGAGTGTCTGTGTGCAGTTTTCTGTTGTTTTCTGTTGCGGAGTTTTTATGGGCTTTGAAATACGTGATCTCATCTGATTCTCCGAGACACACTGTTGAGAGAACTGTCCATCTGGGACACGTGAATCAATCTCTGACCACGAATATATAAACTGGTGAACGTGAGCTGAGGAAGCTTTAAGGAGGACAGTGTACCTTGTGTTTCA